TCGAGATCGTGGCTGTCACGAATGTTTATTTCGGGTGTAATGTGGATTTGAGTCACGATTGTTGATATAAACATTAAGTTATGCTACCATGGAATTAACGACTTTGAAGATAAGGGAGCTTGATTAGCGGGATTATCGGAAACTGCGTATTATGAATAATGTATGATTGAGTCACCTCTCTCGGAACACGGTGTCTTGGAACTAAGAGCTCGACAGACAATGGTCCAAAGCCTCCGGGATTAGTCGAGACCCTTGTTCTCTCCCAATTACCCTAAATGATAATTTAACCAATTCGCGATTTAGCACCGGATTTACGGAGGATTATATACGCCTCGTCCCAACTAGGCTACGTCAACAAGAAACTTAAAAGAGCGACCTAAAGCTGTGTATTTCTGTCGAGTACTTTTCAAGTCATTTTGGTGAGATATGCGTCTTTTAGCCATTTTTAATTAGATTGTTAAATTATGCGCAGAGAGAATAAATTCATGAATTGTTGTTTTTTATGATACTATTTTTATATTTATTACACACGTTACTCGGATGTGTCAGATGACATCAGTAGAATAATCTTCAACGGATCAAGTTATGTTTAATAAAGTTTACGGAACATTTGATCCCCGTTTGCAAACTCGGAAGATCCGATCCTAAAGGAAATGCCTTGAGGATTACCGGTGTTGCTTCAAGTCCTCGTTTCTTCGGTTCAAACGAGGAATTAAGTGTGACGAATGGATGGCACAGAATGCTATTGATTCCCCTTCACTGTATCATGCACACTCCTTCTCTACCTCACTTTTCAAACGACAGTTCCTTCACACGTCCGATATTTCACAGCCGTCTCATTCCCTCATCCTCGCTTTCGTTCCCTTTCACCCCGGTCCCATTCACCCGACGCACCCGGCTCACTCCAGTGAGACAACTTTCGCCCCTATCGCACTTTGTATTTTCTGAAAATTCAGCCCCTCCTTTTCTTATGGATTACAACTCGGGCGTATTCGATGTCTTGGGATATTCCTAAATCCCCTTCCTTTTTTTATGGATGGACTACCCCACTCAACGGCTATAACATAAAAGTAGCAAAGAAACTTTACTTCTCGAGTTCACCACTTTTTACTTTGTACCAGCAAGGATCAAATTAGCTTCAAATTTACAAGTGCGCTAGTCGGGCCCAAACCTATTTTAATTATGGTCTATTGAAATTTAGAACATAATTTGTACTTCTATTTTATAAACGTATTTTATTCTGAGGTATCTAAAAATTAACACATTTTAATAAAATTTTTAAGCGTACATTTATTCTGTTTTCTTTGTCATGTTGAAATATGAACTAAGATTGTTTGTAAATTGTTTTGTTTTCTTGAATCTGCGCTTTGTCTACATGAAGACGAAAGCGAAAGAAATTTTTTCGTGGTGGATAAAGGTCGGTGCATGGATTCATCTCTGACAGAAGAATTTATGCAAAATTTAATTACAAATGAAATCCCATACAAAACGCATATGTACGAGTGGTTAGAGCATTTTAGTAGGAATGTTACATTATTGATGTTTACACGGGAAAGGGCTTGCGGCTCTTTTCGGCGTACATCGCCACGTTACTGTGGCTTCCTTATCCAAAACAATTATGGCGATCTGTTCAAGCTACAGGCTTTCAACTACAAATCTACAAGGGAAAAGGCAAGCGACTTACATCACAACTAATTGCCAATCAATATTACAAGAATTCATTTCATAGTAGCTAATATTTAATGTTTTATGTATTTAATTATTATCAATATTTACTAGGATGTGTTGGAACTAGACAGACCCAAGTGCTTTCTATTTATAGTATTTAAGAGATTGATTTCACAAGCACATGGGCCTGATTAGTTCCAATATATCCTAAATGAAATAAATGATTATTCGGAAATCGTGAGATGCGGTCTGGTGTGATGTAGGTTTAAGAAAAACATTTTCTTTCTTTCTTTATTTATTTATTATAACTCCAACAGAAAGAATCTACAAGAGGAGTAGTCAAAAAAGGCACATAATAACAAAAAGAACAAATTAACAAAGCAATAATAACAAAAACACAAGGCTTAATGATTCAAGGCAAGTAAACATTTTAATTTAACTCTAACTGAATTCAAGGAATCGCGAAATACATCTATTTCATTAGAATAATGATTCAGCAATCTCANTATATATAAAGTGTTTATTTTCTGCGTAATTAACACATTCGTGGGTGTCGTGTTGGTTGGCACTGTCAACACGACACGCAAGAATGGCACAATTACACAGAAAACAACAGAAAACAATTACTTTGAGTGAGTAGAAATACTTTCATTGAATATAAAAAAATTTTTTTTTCATTGTATTTGTAAATTAACTTTTTTCCACATCCTACATGTATTTGTTAAATTTAAAATGTTTGTAAATCCCAGGCCCTGAAGATGATCGCAATAAAGATCGAAACGTTGACACGATAAAGAAAATGTTTTTCTTAAACCTACGTCACACCAGACCGCATCTCACGATTTCCGAATAATCATCAACTAACGGCTCTAATCACCACACATTTCTACACGAGAAGAATGAAAAAAACACCATCCCGGAAAAAAATGAGATAAAATAAAATATAAATATAATATAAAGTATTTTATATTTTATATAAAATATAAAATTAAATTAAATAATATCTAGAGAAAATATAGTCAACATCGGGTTCATCGCACCTCAGACCTCGTTATATAGAAACCATAAATATTACATGGTTTCAAGCAGTATCCAAACAATAATCAATTTGAACTTCAAAGTCTTTCTGTAAAGAGAGTTATTCTTCTATATATATATTGAGATGTATTCTTAACGCAGTGAAAAGGGTATCCACTTGTGGATCAGGACGAAAGATAATAATTTTATGTGACTTCCCGTGGTAGACACAGTCAATCTGCTCAGCCAGTCAGACAGTTTGTGTCTCTCTTTCTCACAATCTCGCTCTCTCTGTTTGTCTGTCTGTCTGCTGTCTCCCATTCTCTCTACATAAAATATTACGACGAGCAACAGGATGCGACTTAAACTCTGACTGAGAAATGAGGGAGAGGTTCTATATAGTCTCTGTTGAGTTGCTGAGTCTGCGGGATCTTTTAATGATGACAGCAGCAACCTTTGCGGTCTCACCTCTCCACACCTAGTACAGGAATTTCCTTGGAAATTCTTGAATTTGGCGGTGTCCTCGGGTGAGCCAGTGAAGTCCGTTGTCATCTTTAAGAGTGTCCAAGCCAAGGTGGTGATTAAAGTCACTGGGATGATCAACTTATGATATTGCCAAATTGTCGGAACTCATTGCAGTTAAGAAAATGTTGTTTTTACGATCTACGATGACGTTGGATGGTGTGTTTTGGTTCCTGAAGGTGTACTTTGAAGTTCGACATGTGGGTCCATGGAAATCCAAATCAACGTTTGCCTCGTGCTAATCGTGCTTCTGTTGTTTCACTCGGTATATTATTTGGCTATTATTGGGATTGATGAGGAAGACTCCTTGTAGTAATTTATCCTGGGTGTCCTGGTCGACAATTTTTAAACATTTCATATAATCGGAAGCTTACATCTTGGACTACGGGTAATTTTAACAAATAAACAATTTCGGTGGGCTTAAGAAATTAGTTTCCGTTCAATGTAAATGTGTCGATGTGGATCATTTTGTTAGGATGTATGGGTATGGGAGTGAAATTCAGTTCAAAGTTGACGGGCGTTCTTTCGTATTTTGTCTTTAGACACAACTCACATCTATTAATATAATTTTGAATATGAACTTTCAAATTCGGCCAATAATAATTATTTGGTTATGTGTTTCGTCTATTCCCCTGTGACTTGTCTTTTCGATATTATAACTATCAATAACTTCTAGCATCTCGTTTTGTTCAGTTACTTGTAGTAATTTTTTACAGTAGCGGAACAGTAACAACTCGGATTGTTTAAAGTATAGTTTCAAAATACGACAAAAGTCGAACAACAAGCAAAAGGCAATAAGAATAACGGTAAGTATATTAAAATTTAAAAATGGTGCGTTAATTTTGACCATAAGTGTATTTATATAAAACCAGGAGGAGAGAGAGAGAGAGAGAGAGAGAGAGAGAGAGAGAGAGAGAGAGAGAGAGAGAGAGAGAGAGAGAGAGAGAGAGAGAGGGAGAGAGATGGAGTGAAAGAGAGGGAGAGAAAGAGAGAGATGGAGTGAAGNGAGAGAGAGAGAGAGAGAGAGAGAGAGAGAGAGAGAGAGAGAGAGAGGGAGAGAGATGTATGTGTGTGTGTATGTGTTATATTGATTTCTGTTAGCTCTGAAACCAAAGTACGATCATTTGCCTTATTACTTAAAGATTTTTAGTTTTCTTAACTGTTAAAAAATTCAGCTCCATCCGAACTGAAATCTCTATCTATTTAATGGTCCTCTTTTACGGGCCAATAAACAGCCCCAAGGGCAACGATAAGGGTTATGCCCGGTCGTTTATAAGTTGAGCAATATCAACACTTATATCAATTATTATAAGAGGACTGTTTGCCAGGCGGAGGGCTGTATAGTCCGGCCACCATTGCCATTCGTTCAAGACATCCTCTTCCAATTAACAAATACTGTAAAGTTAACACCTCGACCGTCATTATCACAGGGTTTTAAGGCTTAATTAACTTCATCGTTTTAATTTCACTACATAGATTCTCCTTTGTTCTGTATTGTGCATAGGTTTCCCATCGATTTTTATAGCTTTTGTAGTACTTTTCTTTTAACAATGTGTTCCACAATATCCGTACAAAAACATTTATATGGTAAAAAAGATAATTTATCCGCGCAAATTAAACATGTTGATATTTTAATACACAACAGTGTGAATTGTTGTTTAAGGACTGTTTTAAAGCTGAAAAACAATATTATAAGTATTTTAAACTTCATTAATCAAATATTAATAAAATACACGAATGAATTTTCCCTCGAGCTAAGTTATTATGATATAAATTGTAAATTTGGGACTTACGTCCGCGGGTGGATGTGCATGAACTAAGCAGACCAAATGTGCTTCGATACCAGGTCCGGCGTGGACCCAGCCTTTCTCCACTTCAATCTCAGGAGCATCTGAAAAAAAGATAAACAATGAAAAACATGTTTTAATAAAAGGTAAGTCTACAAGGAAGAAAAAGGTTTTTCTAAAGGTGTTTTCATTGTGTACATAAAGACATAAGTCGCTTAATTTAAAACCGCAAGAAGTTCAAAGTAAGTTTATAACAAGTTTATCAAGAACCTAAAGTTTGTTGGATATTCATGCTGCATTAAATGCTTACTTGCTTCTTAAATGAACCTTTTAAAGGGCATATTGAATATTTTTTCTTACCACTATATCAAATATTAAAATTACGAATTTAACACGATGTTAAAACTAAGAATTGTTTTCGACTTAGTATTTTTACACTTGGTAAATAGACGGTTTTTAATAAATACTGACCTACCTGTGTAATTCTTATCAAAAAAGGAGAGAAAAATTGAAGTTGTTTTTATTGATATCTAACGTAAAGCTATATGATATGCTACATTTTTCTTTTTCAATAAAAGTTTCAAGTCCTGCCAAAAATTATGACAAATTTCACACTAAATTATATATTTTTCTTTACTTGTTTTGGCAACACTATTCTTTTCATTTTATTGCTCGACACTCGGCTGGCTTCCGAATGAGGTTTAAAACGTAAGGACCGTGTTTGCTCACCTCAGGAGAGGTGGGGTGAAAAAAGGGTAGAGAACTCCAGAAGAAAAAGTTGCAGACTCCTCATTGCTCATTCAGAAACTGGCCAAGTGTTAAGCAATAAAAATGAAAGAACAGTGTTGGACATAAAAGTAGGAATGAAGTGAGGTAGGCCACAATGCAGATATCACTACTTTGATAGGCTGACTTTTTTGGTAGGGTGTCTGGAATTTTTATCTTTCTTTTGAGTTCTCTGAAGTTTTGGACTAATACTCAGTTAATTACACACAATTTTGTTCAATTGAAGTAAACAGGGATTCGAAATGGGAAGTTTATGGCATGGGCGAAGTCAAGGTAGAGCAGCGGCGTATTTAGCCGAAAATCGTAGGTTCGAATCCACCCTGTGACAAAAATTTTTCATTGAGAAAAAATAGTGTTTAATTAATTGAATATATGTATAATTAAGGATAACATAAAGGATAAGATAAAAAAGTTGATATTACGGACTAATTTCAGTATTAGAAGTATTGACCAATTTTTCACTTACGACCACTGGATCAAGGTATGGTCTTGAAGAAGAAAACAAGTTTAGTTGCTACTGTCAGGCTTTCGACCAATGGGTCCACCATTCTAAGGTCATCATCAGGGCAAAACAACCCTAAACAGATTGTCTACAGATTGACATACTAAGTTTTTACAGGCGATCTCAAATTTCCTTGAAGACCGAGTCAATCCCAACATTGCCTTGGGCTTTCTTCTTCAACACCATACATATTCAGAGTGTTTGTTATGAACTAAAAGGAAAGGTATTGGCTGGAGAGCACATTGACAAGATATTTTTTTGGAGGAGGTCTGGAACAAAACGGTCAGGTTTTTTTTGTATCATATCTACCAATTGACAGTGTTAATTCTTCATTTAAAGTAATGTTGGACATTCTATAAACTTTAAGCATTGGGTTTTTATTAAATTATTTCAATTTTATATTGTGAATTATTTTATTGATTGAAATGTAAATGTTTATAATGTTTATTGCTACTTTAAACCGTAAATGTTCTTGAATATTTACAACCAGTTAATCTTAAATGATGGTAGCATACGTTTTTATAGCTGAGGGTCGGTAAACGCACGGCAATATCCATTTTTAAGGCCGCCTTTAGAGTTAATTTTGGTTTATAACTCAAAGGGGAGGTAAAAGTATTTCAATCATCTACAGTAAACTAGACCCAATTGATTTCATAAAAACTGTTTAACCTTTGACGAAAATTGAAGAACAACAACACAGATTTACAATTAACTAGCGATTTGTTTTCAAACGGGATTCGATGCGTTGCAAGACAATAAATATTGAATTAAGACCGATTATTGTAATGAAGAAGGTGGCGAAATCGTGAAATCGTATAATCATAGTGGCATACAAATTCACTGCAAGGAAGCTCATATTTCACCATACTTATTTAAAAGAAATATTAAGCCTATATCGTCTTGAGAAACATCATATTGCATTAGTATTGCTTTATTTCTAAAAACGTATAGTAATGTTTGTTAAAGGTTTTATTAATTTTTTTCAAATCGATTTTTTCTAGAGTGGTTCATGTTTTTGTTAAGAAAAACATCAGCATTTATGCACATTATGCTCATACATATTCGAATAATTAGGTATATCTGTAACACCAACCTGCTGCTTCTTCACTTTAAATGAAATAATTGATAAATGAACTATGGTTTTAGCAAATGCCAATACAAAAATACACTGACAGGCAAAAAATTCAATGAACTGATTTCTTTTCATTTTTTCCATAAAAAAATTCTGCTCTTAATTTGTTTCTTTGTTTTTACCAAAACATAATGTTTATGGTATATTTTAAATTGGGACTATCAATTACACGTAAACACACTTAATCCTTAATCCAAAACAAGGAAAAAGGATTTTTCAATGTTTAATTTTTACGTATTTTAAAATGTTTATTCAGTCTCATTTGAATTCTGAAGCAATAAACGGTTTAGTTTTCATCTTTGTTTTCTTAATTTCAGTTTTTAAACTTAAAAATAGTGCAGAGGATATTGCGCGTGATGTGGCTCTTACTGATGATGGCCGTTCCATCAGGAATGCGGCTATTGCCATCGGAGTTTCCTATGAAAAACTGCGGGACGTCGTTAGACGTTTTCGAGAAACTGGATCCTACCATAGAAGACCCGGTTCTGGACACCTTTGTAGCAGAACCACAGGATAACCGTTTTTCGAATTTGAGAATTTTGCGAAACCTTACTTGTTGTTCAAGCGATTCATCAGCTCCAGGAAGTTCGAGGTGTCCAAATTTATAATCGCACTGCTATAAGAAGAATAAATCAGTACGGACTGATGGCGTTTTGCCCCTTAATAGACCAGAATTGACCAGAACACACGGAGTTGCACAACTCACATTTGCTCGAGACCACAGCCATTGGTCTTTCGACGATTGGTCTGTTGTATATTTTATAGATGAGGGTGATTTGCTCCTCGATGTCCAGAAGGGAGAGAAACAGTGTGGATAAACCGAAATGAAAGGTACGAAGCCTGAACTTTTTCCCAGAGTTAACCTTTTCAACGTAGCTCAGTGATGGTGTGGACTGGAATTTAAATGGAGAGTCGTACAGAGTTGGTTGTTGTTCGTGGAGTGTCTTTGACGGCCAGTCGCTATGTGGACGAAATTAGGGATCTTGCGAATCCTCGATGAAATCAGCGACAAACCTATTCTAATGTACGATAATGCCCGTCCCCATGTCGCTAGCATAGTACAACCTTCAACAGCATACATCAGGGTCTTAGCCCGGCCGCCCATTCTCCAGACTTGAACACCATCGAACTTTATGGGATAACCTCAAAAGACGAATAAGAGCAAGGTCATCACTTCCTGATACCCTCCACGATCTTGAAAAGCCTCTTCGTGAAGAATGGGCTAACCTCCAGAAAAGAGACGTTTCCAGACTGGTAGAAAGTATGCCAAGCCGGCTGCGAGATGTAATTAAGGCAAGAGGAGGAAATACGCGATAGTGAAATGTTAATTAAAAATTTAAAACCAATTTCATCTGTCCGTCTTTTTTTTCATTTTTCTTAGCAAGTTACATTTTTTTTTACTTTTTTAGACAAAGACTCAATTATTAAATGTTGAAAACGTTAAGCTTTGGTTGATATATAAAAATATATACAAATCAAGTTATATTACAAGTGGGTGGAATTTTTTGCCTGTCAGTTTATAATTGACTCAATGTTTTTCATTTTTCTAGTTGGTCATTCTCAGGTACAAAAACATTTTAATTGTTGCCGGTGTAGAACGTGTAGGCCTGCCCTGTTTAAGGTTGAGATCGTTAAAACCGTTATTATCAAAAATTTACATTTTTACGGAACCTCGTTGGTATTGTTTGCATTCCCTTTTTTCTTTGGGAAATATTTGATTGACTTATTAACAAGTTTGAGCATTTAAGAAGACAGCATTGGCTTTTACCTGTTGCTTTCAATCCCTTCCTGATTCAATGCCGGGAAGACTGTGTGATCGATCAATCAAGCTTAACTCTGATCGGCGATTAGTTCTGCTTTTCCACTGGACTTGAATTACGTATTAGTCTTTTTAAACGAAAATTTATTATTGTCAAATTTTAAATATTTTTTAACATGGCAAATAATGATAAACATTTTTGCCAACAATAACCGGTCTACCTATTCTCATACAATCCTTCTATGAAAATTTCTTGTAACTAATTTGAATGTTTAACTAAACCAAAAAGTACATATGTATTGTTAATAAAACAATAAAATCCGATGATGATATTTTCAAGGTGTGGTTCTGGGAGTGAAATAAGGTCATTGTGGCAGTACAATACATTTCAATACTAATGTTGTCGTGTTATTGTGCATTATATTTTTTATTATTGTAAAAACATAATACAACAACACAACAATATTAGCACTGAAAAGTACTGTAACTGTAACTGTAAGGCGGAGAGGTACACAACGGCGGACGTATGACTTACGAATTTTGAATTCCGGCACCCTCCCTACCCTTCATATCGTAATTATTTATTAATCCTCTTCACTATTAATAATTTATACTTTTGATAGTATTTGGAATAAAGGGTTTCGTTTATGCCATCAAGAACGAAAATCCGTGGAGCAGTTCGGCCAAAATTTTGATCGGCGTTTCGGGCGTTCATAATTATAAACTGCTCAAAAAGGAGTAGGGATTACTTTATTATAGTTTATTACTTTACTACTTTATATACTACTTATATATACTTATATAAGGGGGGATACTTTATTCTTATTCTATTACTTTTAATTAAATTAACCAATATATTCTTGTTATAATAAAATAAAAACTAAGAAACCAAAAACAAACAAATGTTAATCCTCTTTTTAATAACCGATTTACCGAAGAATAGGAAACATGAACGTTACTCATTTTGTAAACAAACGCCTTTTCTCGTCTTTTCTTCATTTTAATCCAGTTGTACTCTCGTTAACCATGGAAAGACATCATCTTGAACCAGAAGTTCACAATATTATTATGAGAATGAGTCATCGAGTTCAAAAGAAGATATCGCAGAGGCAGTTGGCGTTTCTCAGACCGTGTTCGCGCTAAAGGAGGACAGATATGCCATAGCTGCAAGACGGAACCCTTTCTATGCCCGCTAGATCCTCGAATGAAAGATGTTTTGACAAGGCCTTTATCAGCACAAACAATTCGTAATCGTTTGTGGGAAGTTGTCTAGTATGCCCCTTTGAGACGACCTGAAGCAACAGCCCGCCACCAGCAACTCAGGAGAATACGGTGTAGGAAGTGCCTAGATGAGAACACAAATTGAAATGCTGTTATTTTTTCTGATGAATCGCGTTTCTGTCTGTATAATGATAGCAGGCGCCGAAGAGACTAAGAACAGGTGGTGCGTACAATGCCCCAGGAGGCGGTGTAATGGCCTGGGCTGGGATTTCCACTGGAGAACGAACTGGATTCCATGTTATTGAAGATAACCTGACCCCAGTCCGTTACGTCGAAGAAAGAGGAATACATCCCTCAAACCAGGAAATCTCATTGGGGATTTTCGATTTCTGGATGACAACGCCAGACCTCATAGAGGTAGTGTTGGTCATCAGTGTTTAGAAAACCTAGGACGTTCTCGTCTGCCTCTTTTCCCATTGTCTCCAGACCTCAATCCCATTGAACACATGTGGGATGCGTTGCAGATAAGGCTTTTCCATCACCATCCGCAGCCAGTTAACCTGCAACAACTGAGTGCAGCGTTGCAACATCTATGGAGTGAAATTTCTTATGAAATTAGTGACAGTACACTAAATTAGTGATGAATTAACAATATGCCTAACAGGTGCGCAGAGGTTTTAGTTAATAGAGGGCATTAATTGTTTTAAAAAAATTATTGTGTCCAATAAACAAAATTATGGAAGTAAAACCTTTTATTTTGATATATTCAAAATCCCTTAATTGAATTTTCCTTCAATAAAAACGTAATAATTTCTAACAAATTTTAATGAATTTTATAATAAAAATAAAATAAAAATGCTAAGAAAAGTAGATACTACAAAAGTAGCAATATCCCTACTCATTTTTGAGCAGTTTATACAAGATTAATTATGTATCGTATTGCGCCTCGCGCAGATAATACCTCAATAAAAAAATTAAAATATTATTGAAAAATTTAATAATAATGAAATATCTATAATTAGTTTGATTAATTTGTTAAAATAGCTGCGTATTTAATACGAAGGTTATTTTACATTACAGATTTTCACTTCTTAAAAAATTAACCACGAATGCGTTTTATATTTTCATGAAAAACCAACAATACTACGTTTACCTATATGACTCAATAGTAATATTAATTACAATTAATTAAGGTTTTTAGTTGAGATAAAAAAGTAAATGGCACGAGCGGGATTCGAACCCACGATATTCGGCTAGATACGCCGCTGCTCTACCACTTGAGCTATCGTGACCTCGATCCACGGACACTAACTTCCCATCTCAACCCCACCTTTTGAATTTTCCCTCCTTTTTGCCATTTTTCACTAAAGCTCTCCGTGGCTATTTCATTTGTCGTCGAGAATCCAATCCGATTACACGACATTTGAAAAATTAATAACAAATTCAATAAATAACAAATTAAATATGTAATACGTACTTAAATGTAGGTGTTAGTGTGTTATATGTGCACACATAATTATTAGTTTAGGAAGAGGTGGTAAATTCATATTGAGCCGTGATTCTTCAGGATGTGTTAGGTACCACAAAAGTATGACTTTTATGATTATCTTGCAGGCAGGTTATCCAAAACTCTTCTCTCTCTGGTTTGTAAATAGAATATGAAGAAAGATGTTTTACACGTTGGGAACATTGAAAAGCAAATGATTCAGAATGGAAGAGTCGATTGGAAATTTAAGGAGTAAAATTGGGAAAGAGCGGTTTAGGCCGACAATGGGACAGGTATGACATGTACGGCCCACTGGTCTGTGAAATGAAACTAGACCCCCGCCCTTAGTTTATTCTAATGAAAAGAGGGAGCTGAGTGAAATTGGGATTTCAATAAATCCTCTTTTCGCGGAGGAGATATTGCAAGGCTCTTTCTGGAGAAAGGGGTTGGGTGATGGCGCAGAGATATTGGAGTTTTGAATGGGCCTGTGTTCGCGGTGTGTACTTAGCGCCTTGAGCAATATCTCCGGCTATTGGCCTGGTAAATTACAACGAAGTAGGGCCGGAGAGCTCCTCTCTCTTCTCCACCCAAAGAGACAAAAGTAATGCACCGTTGTGGGGAGACGAAATGAGCGCCCTTCATTAGTTCTGGGCCCTGTCAAATATTTCAGCCCCAAGCCTGGGCCCTTGATTCCCGATTTAGGTTCTCTGCCCAATTAAGAGAGAACACTTATTCTTTCTCGATCTAATTCTACAAATTATTTCAATTAAGGGAACGAAAAGGAAAGGTTCGGGGCGGTGTAAAAACAAATTATTCTACTTATGTTTATTACGACCAATGAGGCCGGCAGATTAAATAAAATGTTATCTTCATTCCAACCATCCGATATCAAACTAAAATATATATTCGTATCTTATTTTATCAGTTTATTACTTACTTATTATCTCTTACTTATTACAAGGTTAAAAATATTTAAATGTTTATATTTTATTTAAAACCTACTTTAAAAAATTAATTGATGTCAAAATTTGTCATCTAAAACATGAATTCCGATCCGATATCTAGTGCAATATTAACACCCTTTACATTTTTTTGTGTGTATAGGAAGAGTTTCCTCAAACGCAAGTAAATAAGGCAAGTAGAAAGGGTCAAGACCAATTATTTTATACAAAAAATGTGGTACAGATTGTTATATGCTAACTATGGGTTATGTGATTTCTTAGAAAGGAGGGGACATTTACCATTGGAAGGTGGAATTTATTCTCGACAGAGCCTCCTCACACTTCTCGAAGTTGCGTATGGCGGAAGGGTGGGACCTGTTATGCGGACGACCCGGGATTGAACATCAGCGGAGTGGCGATTCACCACATCCCCGCGGGCGGGTCGTTCGAGTACCTGGGTCTAAGGTTTTCCCCTGAGGCGGGTCTGGGACAGCGTCACCGTACTCGTGGAGTTAGAAGGGATGATTAGCCGGTTCTTGATGATCAGTTTCAAGTCTCGACAGAAGATGGACATGGTCAAGCGATATATGATAACGAGAAGGCTCAACCTCTGGTGACAGATACCAGTATTCGGCATTGGGTGAAGGAGAACTTTCTTCTCCTGCAATCCACTCCGAATGGCCTCATATACGCCAACAGCAAAGCCGGCACACGGTCCCTGTGGCGGATTCCCTTCTGGACAGTTCCGACCTGTGGATCAGGGGGCTTTACGACGCCAACCAGGTGGGTGCTCGCCTAAACAAAGCAGCGGCCCGCCTCGTTTTGGGGAGTGGTTCACCACCTGCGGGGAATTGCGTGTGCTGGCCAAACGACTATACCAGGGTGAGTTAGACAGTTGGGCGGCTTTAGGGGCGATCGGTCACGGAGTGAAGATCATCGCCAGCGGCGTGGAGGGCACCGGTGGTTATCTGACGGATCAAAGATCCGTCCAGATTCCAGGTTCATCCACGCCCTTCGCATGAGGACCAATTCAATGGGCACTACGGAGGCGTCGAGAAGGGCAGACTCTAGTGTGCCGGCCGAAGGTCCGACGAGAATGAAATAGTTAGCCTAGAACTCGCGGTGGCGTTTCAGACTCCGGGCCAGTTGGACGCGGTGGCAGGCCTCAAGGCGGAGAAATATGAGGTACTGAGGGAAGTCCAAAAACGCCAGTTTATGGCAGCTGGTGTGGTAGTGGGGGCAAAAGGATTCATTCATACCTGAATGTACAAAGGCGACGCTCAGAGACCTCGGCATAAAAGAATTACCGAGGTTGCTCCTCACCCTCTCCCTAGCGGCCTTGAGGTCTTCCTTGTCCATTGCCTGGAGCCATCGTAAGCAAGCGTAGCTTCTCAGAGACTCGTCCAGCGGCAACGGCTATCGAGCGAGCCACCTAAAACGACGGGCCTGGCTTGACGGGACACGTTTGGACCCGAGGAGCGGACGAAGGAGGTCAGTAGGAGATCCGCACCTAGGGATGCGAAAAACCGGCAGAGGCTGGAAATAGGGTAAATTTTTAGTTTGGTCAGGAAAAAAAAGGTGCGAGAAAGGTTGGGGTTTTTCTTGCTCCACAAGATCTTGTTTACAGTTCACATGGCTGCAAGTAATGGTTATGGTCTATTTAGAATGGCAGTGAACGTAATCATAATTTAGAATGGCTGCCGAATAAACATTTAGTTATCTTGTGCTCTACAGTTTACAAGTTGTAGTAAAGTCTAGTTTCCAGTTAGATAAATAGCTTAGCGAAGAGGGTAGTATTGTGACAGACTGGAGGAAGGGTTTTTCTCGTTATGTATACCATGTGCTGGGATTTCAATAACCTTCATTTTGGTTACACCCTGTAGAAGTACCATTGAGTCTTGGGAGAAACGATAGCCGTGTGATCGACAAAGTTCAAGTTAAGGTATTAATGAAGGAAAGTCTCCAGTAAGAGGGTATATGAACAGCAGCGTGTGGAAGATGAAGGAAGATAAAGAGAGATCGTGGACCACATAAAACCTACGATAGGAGTAATAAGATTTGTGGATGAGGTTATAGGTATTGGATATTCCCTTCAGCTTATCCAGCAGGCCCAGGTTGAAGTTAACTTCAAGAGTTGAAAAAAAAAGTTAATTGTACAAAAACAAACAATTTCTTCTTTTATCTGATTCTTCCATAACGCATGAAAGAATGAATTTAATTAATGTTAAAAGTAAACAATAAAATGTCGTCAGTTATGAAGCTTATTAAACATATGAAAGATCGGCTCTTTATTTATATTTATTATACACATTTTTTTGTTTACGTACTCTTTAAATTCAAATTAAAAAGCTATATTGCCACTTTGTTTTGTTTTTAAACTAAAATTAAATTTTTATTTGCGATTATAATATACAGTGACAGGGAAAAAATTCCACCCAACTGTAATATAAGTTGATTCGTGAAAATATTTTTATATATCAATCAAAGCTTCACATTTTTTAATGTTTAAAAATTGAGTCTTTGTGTAAAAAAGTAAAAAAGGTAAATTACTAAGGAAAATGAAAAAAAAAGACGGCCATATGAAATTTGTTTTAGATTTTTAATTAACATTTCAATATCGCGTATTTCCTCCTATTGCCTTAATTATATCTCGAATACTCCACGACATACTTTCTAACAACCAAATCTGTGCGACTCTTCATTGAAATTGCCGCCCACCACATCACTGAGCTACGTTGAGAAGTTGGATCTGGGAAAAATTATACAAATTACTTTGTATCTGTCATTTCGCCTTCTCCACACTCTTTCACGCCCATCTGGAGATCATAGAGCAAATCTACACTCATCTGTAAAGAGTACAGCAGACCAATCGTCCAAAGACCAATGGCAAATATGAGCCGTGCAAATCTGTGTGTTCTGGTCAATTCTGGTCCTATTAAGGGGCAAAAAGCCATCAGTCCATACTGATTTAATCTTCTTCGAGCAGTGCGTTCTTCGAACTTCCTGGAGCTGATGATCGCTTGAACAACAGTAAGGTGCCGGTTTCGCAAAATACTCAAAGTTAAAAGACGGTCATCCTGTGGTTCTGTTACCCTATGGCGTCCAGAATCGCGCGTACCTGATGAAACGCCCATCATCAATAAGCTCCACACCACGCGCAATTCAGAATTCCAATGAGGCTGAATTAACATGTTAAAGTAAACATTGAAAAATCCTGTATCCTTGTTTTGGATTAAGGATGAAGTGTGTTTACGTCTAATTGATATTCCTAATTTAAAACATAAAAATTGAAATTAAGAAAACAAAGATGAAAACTAAACCGTTTATTTCTCCAGAATTGAAATGAGACTGAATAAACATTTTAAATTACGTAAAAATTAAACATTGAAAAATCCTTTATCCTTGTTGGATTAAAGATGAAGTGTGTTTACGTCTAATTGATATTCCTAATTTAAAACATAGCATAAACAAATATTTATTGGTAAAAACAATGAAACAAATTAAGGGCAGAATTTTCTTTTATCGGGAAATTGAAATATATATATATATATATATAT